AGCCTGGGCAACAGAGCAAGACTCCGTCTCAAAAAAAAAAAAAAAAAAAAAAGAAAGAAAGTGGCAGTAAATTTGAGGGGTGGTCCCTACTATAGGTTATTCTTAAAAGTTCTGGGCCTGGTGTGGTGGCTTACGCCTGTAATCCCAGCACTTTGGGAGGCCGAGGCAGGTGGATCACCTGAAGTCAGGAATTCAAGACCAGCCTGACCAACATGGAGAAAACCTCGTCTCCACTAAAAATACAAAATTAGCTGGGCATGGTGGCATGTGCCTGTAATCCCAGCTACTTGGGAGGCTGAGGCAGGAGAATCCCTTGAACCTGGGAGGCGGAGGTTGCAAAGAGCCAAGATCACGTCATTGCACTCCAGCCTGGGCAACAAGAGCGAAATTCCGTCTAAAAAAAAAAAAAAAAGTTCTGGGCCAGGTGCAGTGGCTCACGTCTGTAATCTCAGCACTTTGGGAGTCTGAGGTGGGTGGATCGCCTGAGCCCAGGAGTTCTCGACCACCCTGGACAAAATGGCAAAACCCTAACTTTACAACCCAGGCACGGTGGGTCATGCCTATAATCCCAGCATTTTAGGAGGCCAAGGCGGCTGGATCACCTGAGGTCGGGAGTTCCAGAACAGCCTGACCAACGTGGTGAAACCCCATCTCTACTAAAAAACACAAAAATTAGCTGGGCATGGTGGCAGGCGCCTGTAGTCCCAGCTACTCAGGAGGCTGAGACAGGAAAATCGCTTGAACGGGGGAGGCAGAGGTTGCAGTGAGCCGAGATGGCACCATTGCACTCCAGCCTGGGTGACAGAGCAAGACACCGTCTCAAAAAAAAGAAGAAAAAAAAAAAGAAAAGACTTGCCTATAAGTCATAGGCTGTATTATAAGCTTAATGCTGGACAATTTTTAAATGACTTCTCTGTAAGTCATATCTTTGTACATGTAGCAAGCTGTCACATTATAGAAAAATGAACACATTGCCTTCACTTTTCCATCAACTGCAACCTTAGAGCACTCATTTTCAGTTAAGATACAGATTCCCTATGTTCAATAATACAGTGCCACATAAAAATTCCACTCAATCCAAAAATTCGAAGTTTTTGCAATATAGGCAACAACATGCTAAATTAATTGTAAAACAACTACAGCACTAAGGTGAATAACTTGTACTGGGATATAGAAGTTCAGTATCAAAGCTACTAGCAACACCAATCCACAAAGATTCTATAAAAGTTTAGTGTAATTTGCCGGGCATGGTGGCTCACGCCTGTAATCCCAGCACTTTGGGAGGCCGAGGTGGATGGATCACATGGTCAGGAGTTCAAGACCAGCCTGGCCAATATGGTGAAACCCTGTCTCTACTAAAAAAAACTACAAAAATTAGCCAGGCGTGGGGCAGGCGCCTGTACTCCCAGCTACTTGGGAGGCTGAGGCAGAAGAATCACTTGAACCCAGGAGGTGGAGGTTGCAGTGAGCAGAGATTGCGCCACTGCACTCCAGCCTGGGCGATAGAACAAGACTCGGTCTCAAAACAAAATCAAAAACAAAAAAAACATGGAAAAAAAAAAGTTTGGTGTAATTCTCACTTAAGCGGTCACCTTCAATCAAAAAGGAATTAAGATCTTATTTATTGTTGGGAAAAAGGAGACAGTACTAACAACCACCTATAATCAACATTGTAAGGAATAACAAATATTTGCTGTATTAATTGTCATTAAATTAAAAACACAGTACCTCTTGTACTAGTTTACAAAACAAAAACAAAAAAGCACCATCACTCTAAAGTTGTCACCACTTAGTAATCTGAGATATTTTAATTGCAGCTGCGGTATTTGTTTGTTGCCTGTGTGTATGACTCATATAGAAAGGTTTTCCCAACATGGCTGGATTTTTGAGAATGCAGAAGCCATAACTGGGGCATACTGTGTGGGAAGTATCATGACAGTGAATGAATAAAAGGGGAAAAGAACTCATGACATAATTTTTTTTAAGTTTTTATAAAAAGCAAGTCACTCACTAAAGGCAGGCTCTGCAGAATAAAAGGAAAGGCTGGGGAAAAGCCATCCCTGCTCTGAGAAGCCTTCCTTGACTCTCTTGGTTGGATTCAGTGCACTTCTTAGACTACATAGCACTTAACGGGTTTCCTTGTCTGGCTCCCCAGCCATACTGTATGCAACTTCAGACCAAAAGCTGTCTTAAATTAGTACCTACTTCCCAAAATGCCTGCCATATGGAGGGCCCTCAGTAGGTGGTTCATAAATAGGAATAATCAATTTTATATTTACATTTTATTTTACATTTCACTTTCAAAACACTATCTGTTTTGATCCACGCTAACAATCATGGGAAGGGCTTTATTTAATCAAATGGCTTTTGATTTTATAAAGAATTAATTCAGGGCTGGGCACAGTGTCTCACGTCTGCAATCCCAGCACTTTGGGAGGCTGAAGCAGGTGGATCGCCTGAGGTCAGGAGTTCGAGACCAGCCTGGCCAATGTAGTGAAACCCTGTCTCTACTAAAAATACAAAAAATTAGCTGGGCATGGTGGCGGGCATCTGCAATCCCAGCTACTCAGGAGGCTGAGGCAAAAGAATCACTTGAACCTGGGAGGTGGAGGTTGCATTGAGCAACATCATTGCACTCCAGCCTGGGAAACAAGAGCAAAACTACGTCTCAAAAAGAGTTAATTCAATGACTAAAACAATCCTGAAATGACAAAGATAATTATATATTTGTTCATCTTTGAGATAGCTTCTCCTTGGGACCTCAGTATTCTCATAAAATTCAGATGTTTTGCTAGCATTTTCTTTGCTTGCTCTCCATAATAGGTAGGACTCACCCTGCTCTGAATCTTACTAAGGGTTTAAACTACATAAAGCTATTATTAAAGACCCTTCTAGAAATCACACAAAAAGAAGCATCCTAAGTTATTTTTTTCTGATCCTGTTCTTTTTGTAACTAAGGTAAGGAATTGCAAAAGTCAAAATCTGGAGAGCAAGTGATGTCATGGATGTCATGAAGTTGCATCAATACCTGATGATGATTTAGCATAACAGTGCAACATATTATGCCAAGAAGCATGATGAGCCACCAGGATGTTTTACTGCATTAATTTCATGACTCTTTATTAGCAAATTGATATGCAAAGTAACTCTCCAATTTTCTACCACAGAGAAGCTGCTGGTTCAGATTTACATCTTTACAAAGACACTAAGAAAATCAACAAATTTCTATGGAAAAGTCTTTGATTTAAAAATAGAAGAGGTGGCTGGACGCAGTGGCTCAAGCCTGGGGTGGGGCAGGGTATCGCTTGACACCAGAAGTTTGAGATCAGCCTGGGCAACATGGTGAAACCCCATCTCTACGAAAATTTTAAAAAAAAAATTAGCCGGGCGTGGTGGCGCACGCCTGTAATCCCAGCTTCTCAGGAGGCTGAAGCAGGAGAATGGCTAAACCCAGGGGATGGAGATTGCAGCGAGCCGAGATTGTGCCACTGCACTCCAGCCTGGGTGACAGACAGAGTGAGAGACAACCAAAAAAAAAAAAAAGAGAGAGAGAAAATGGTCAAATAATAACCTAAAACAATTGTCATTTTAACAGTGAAAAGCTTTTTAAGATATGCCACATGCCTATGGATCAATGTAGATTGAATCATGTATTTATATTGGCTTGTCAAAAGCCAACAGTTACTGGGTATAAAATGACAACATACAATAGAAAAGACATCCAATCAGATTACACATATGAATACACTGAAAGTTAGCAATTTAACACAGCATCACTAATGGCCGTAAGAGCTACAGACTTAATTCTAAATGTTCAATTCTAAATGACTGTACTTCCTCCAAATTTTCCTTGTCTCTTTAAATCCATGATGTCATCATTCTTAAGTACAAATAAAGCCAATTTGTTACAAAAGGTATTTTCGTGTGTCCAAGCAAAAGCAAATGCCTCAACAATTTCCCATGCAAGTGCAATGAAGTCATTATTCCTCAAGGAAGAGACCACAAGGCTTCAAACCGACTTCCCTACATGACAGAAACACAATCGAAGTCTCCCAATTAGCATTTAAACAACAACAAAAGTTGTTCTCAAAAAGGAACAACATAGTTACAATGTCGCTGCCAGCAAGTATGAACTGGTAATGTATCAGAATTTTCATCTAGATCGATCAGAATCCCACCATAGAAAAATTCAAAGACGCTGGCAATTAAGAAATGAAGCTTTTATTTTCCTAATAGAAGTCGGGAGATTTAACAGACAAAACAATTGATTATTCTGAATCTTAACAATCCGAAGCTTTCAAACGAACTCAGGGCTGAAGTTACTCTGCAGCGACCATCAAGATCTCACAATCGTTTCCTCTTCGCTTACAAATTCGTTCCCACCCTCCACCGTTCCCTTTGCACACACAATTCTCGCCAAGAGAAGCCTTCCACATTCACAGCATGGATTGCTGTCTCAAGCAAGGAAATCCGCAGTTCCCATTTCTCTAGGGGAACATGCAGCAAGCTAGGGGATAGGAAAGGCCTTTTGTGTTTTATTTAACGTAAACCAATTCCAAAATTATCCCTTTGCAGCTGCAGGTTCAGAGATGCTGGCCCCTAGCCGCAGCCCCAATTTTGATGCGCACCCGACCCCCGGCTCCCCTCTCGCATAGGAGTGAAAGGTTCGGAGGAGGAATGAAAGGATTATCTGACACCCTAAAGCCATCCTTGCCCGGGCCACAGACCCCTTCACTGCCTGGGTGAGGGGACGAGAACCACCCTGCTGAGGAGAGGGGGGTGGGTTCGCTCCCGACCAAAAGGCTGGCTGGAAAGGACCTCTCCTCCTCGCCTCACTCGAGGACGGCGATAGCAAGGCACCCTACCCAACCAGGACCGACCCCCGCGCAGGATACGGGGCCTGCGCCAGACCCCGGGCGCCCGCTGCCCCTTGCCAGTCCCGGGCATAAAGGGCATGAGGCGCCGGCTCCCCACCGCGGCCCGGGGAGGAGAGGCCTCACCTGGCCCAGCCCGCTCCACGCTCTCGGGTTCGCTCCGCTGGCGAAGGTAATGAGGGAGCCAGGGACAGGGCCAGAGCAGAGGCGCTCTGCGTCAGGCCGCGATAGCGGTGCTCGGGGCTCCTCACAGCTGGCGGGACCCCGAGCCGCCCGGAGCCGCCATCTTCCTCCACTCAAACGCCGCCGCCGCCGCCGCAGCTGCTGCTGCTCAGGCCGGGAGAAGACAGCGCAGAGCGCGCATGCGCCGGGGCGGGCGCGGAGGACGCGCGCGCACTCACGTCAGCGCGGCGGCCTGTCGCGGGGCGGCCAGGCGGCGGCGCCATATTCAGAAGGGCTGTGGTCACAGACTGAGGTTCTCTGGAAGGTGGAAGGCGGTCGGGGTAGCCAGGCTTCCGCACCCGCCTTCGCCGCGTCTCTAGCGTCGCCTCATAGCCGCACCCACCCTCCGCTGAACTGTCTGGGGCAACTGGGTGGTTTTTCCAGTGGTTTGAGACTAACGTTTAGCCAGGAATTAACTCACTTCTACCCCGAGGGCCCGATGAGCACAGAGGGCTGTGGCCGATGTAAGTGCCCATGGATACTGCCAAGGGGAGGGAAACTCTGCCTGAGGTGTGCAAGAGAAGCCTCCCTTAAATGTAGCCTCGTAGCAACCACTGTGTGAGTTCTTACTAGCTCCGCTTTTAAGATGAGGAAACTGAGGCACAGAAAACGATCAGTTATTTGACCAGAGTCACACACCTAGCAGTGAAGGTGGGCGGCGCGGGAAAGAGGATTTAAACTCAGGCATGTCTGGTTCCCAAGCTCCTTTACTTCCTACTGGCTATCACCAGGGGATAGGATCCAGCAAAGTCCCCCTTCTCAAGGGAGCAAGCTGGTGTGTAGGTGAGAACCTTCATGAGCCCAGCCCTACAGCATATGGTCTAAGGAAATGCCAGATAGAGAGTCGAAGGCTTCCATCTAAACTCTGTAAGCCAAAAAAAAAAAAAAAAAAAATCTAAGCCCCCCCTCCCCCCCCGCAAAACCATCCGAATGGACTTCCTCCTAGGCCAGGGCAGTCTAAAATGTAACCATGGTTCAGGCCATGACAGGAAGCGGGACATAAGACATGCCTCATTACACCCTCCAGCATTGACATCAACACAACAGACCTTAAGACTGTTAAGAAACATTTACAATAGGCCGGGCGCGGTGGCTCACGCCTGTAATCCCAGCACTTTGGGAGGCCGAGGCGGGCGGATCACAAGGTCAGGAGATCGAGACCACGGTGAAACCCCGTCTCTACTAAAAATACAAAAAATTAGCCGGGCGCGGTTGTGGGCGCCTGTAGTCCCAGCTACTCAGGAGGCTGAGGCAGGAGAATGGCGTGAACCCGGGAGGCGGAGCTTGCAGTGAGCCGAGATGGCGCCACTGCACTCCAGCCTGGGCGACAGAGCCAGACTCCGTCTCAAAAAAAAAAAAAAAAAAAAAGAAACATTTACAATCTATTCTCTCTGGAGCCTGCCTGCCACCTGGAGGTTTCACATGCATGATGAAACTTTAGTGTCCACAACCCTTATCATAACCCAGACATTCATTTCTATTGATAATAAGGTTTTTTTTTTTTGAGACAGGGTCTGGCTCTGTTGCCCAAGCTGGAGTCTAGTGATGAGTTCTTGGTTCGCTGCAACCTCTGCCTTTCGGGCTCAAGCTGTCCTCCTACCTTAGCTTCCTGAGTAGCTGGGACTACAGGCGGGCACCACCATGCCTGGCAAATTTTTCCATTTTGTTGTAGACGCAGGGTTCACCATGTTGCCCATGCTCGTCTCAAACTCCTGAGCTCAAGCAATCCACTTGCCTCGGCCTCCCAAAGTGCTGGGATTACAGGCGTGTGGCACCGCACCAGGCCTATTGATAACTCTTTCAACTCATTGCCAATCAGACAGTTTTTAAATCTGCCTATAACGTGAAAGCCCCCACTTCAAGTTTCCAGTCTTTCTGCACCAAACTAATGTAGTTTTTATTTATTTATTTATTTACTTATTTTTATTTATTTATGTTTTTTTTTTTTGAAACAGAGTCTTGCTCTGTCACCCAAACTAGAGTGCGGTGGCACCAACTCGACTCACTGCAACCTCCGCCTCCTGGGTTCAACCAATTTGCTATTTGCCAAATGTAGTTTTTGGTTTTTTTTGAAATGGAGTTTTGCTCTGTCGCCCAGGCTAGAGTGCAGTGGCGTGATCTCTGCTCACTGCAAGCCCCGCCTCCTGGGTTCACGCCATTCTCCTGCCTCAGCCTCCAGAGTAGCTGGGACTACAGGCGTCTGCCACCACGCCTGACTAATTTTTTGTATTTTTAGTAGAGACAGAGTTTCACTATGTTGGCCAGGCTGGTCACCAACTCCTGACTTCAGGTGATCCGCCCACCTCGGCCTCCCAAAGTGCTGGGATTACAGGGGTGAGCCACAACGCCTGGCCTTATTATTTTTTTTTATTTCTTTCTTTTCTTTTTTTTTTTTTTGAGACAGAGTCTCACTCTGTCACCCAGGCTAGTGCAGTGGCATGATCTCGGCTCACTGCAACCTCCACCTCCCAGGTTCAAGCAATTCTCCTGCCTCAGCCTCCTGAGTAGCTGGGACTACGGGTGCGCATCACCATGCCTGGCTAACTTTTTGTATTTTTAGTAGAGACGAGGTTTCACCATGCCGGCCAGGCTGATCTTGAACACCTGACCTCGTGCTCCACCTGCCTCAGCCTCCGAAAGTGCTGGGATTACAGGTGTGAGCCACCGCACCAGATCTAATTTTTGTATTTTTAGTAGGGGCAGGGTTTCACCATGTTGGCCAAGTTGGTCTCGAACTCTTAACCTTAGGTGATCCGCCTGCGTTGGCCTCCCAAAGTGCCGGGATTACAGGGGTGAGCCACCACGCCCAGCCTGCACATTTTCAATATTGGTAAGTTGCCATTTACGTATCACAACTATCTATATAGCTTCAGCTTGTGCATCAGATACAAAGTTATGATGGGCTTTGAGCTTGTATTCTGATTAGCATCAAAGTGTTTTATGTGGTGTACCGAAAGCACCTGAAGTTTTGAGTGCAGGTTTAACATACAGGCCCCAGAAGTCAGACACAGTGGCTCATGCCTGCAATCTCAACACTGGCAGGCCAAGGTGAGCAGATTGCTTGAGCCCAGGAGTTCCCTCCTGGGCAACATAGGGAGACCCCACCTCTTAAAAAAAAAAAAAATGCAGCCGGGTGCAGTGGCTCACCAGCACCTGATAATCTGGTAATCCCAGCACCTTGGAAGGCCGAGGCGGGCAGATCACCTGAGGTTGGGAGTTCGAGACCAACCTGACCAACATGGAGAAACTCCGTTTCTACTAAAAATACAAAATTAGCTGGGTGTGGTGGCACATGCCTGTAATCCCAGCTACTCGGGAGGCTGAGGCAGGAGAATCGCTTGAACACACGAGGCGGAGGTTGTGGTGAGCCGAGATCATGCCATTGCACTCTAGCCTGGGCAACAAAAGCAAAAATCTGTCAAAAAAAAAAAAAAAAGCCAGGTGCAGTGGCTCATGGCTGTAATCCTAGCACTTTGGGAGGCCAAGGCAGGCAGATCACGAGGTCAGGAGTTTGAGACCAGCCTGGCCAGTATGGTGAATCCCATCTCTATTAAAAATACAAAAATTAGCCAGGCGTGGTGGCACGTGCCTGTAGTCCCAGCTGCTCAGGAGGCTGAGGCAGAAGAATTGCTTGAACCTGGGAAGCAGAGGTTGCAGTGAGCTGAGATCACGCCACTGCACTCCAGCCTGGGCGACAGAGCAAGACAAGACACCGTCTCAAAAAAAAAAAGTGGACTCTGTCTCAGGAAAAAAAAAAGAAAATCACCTAAGGTCTGGAGTCCGAGACCAGCCTGGCCAACATGGAGAAACTGTCTCCACTAATAATACAAAAATTAGGGCCAGGCGCGGTGGCTCGTACCAGTAATCCCAGCACTTTGGGAGGCCGAGACGGGTGGATCACCTGAGGTTGGGAGTTTGAGACCAGCTGGCCAGCATGGTGATACTCCGTCTCTACTAAAAATACAAAAATTAGCCAGGCTTGGTGGCAAGCGCCTGTAATCCCAGCTACTTGGGAAGCTGAGGCAGGAGAATCTCTTGAACCCGGGAGGCGGAGGTTGTAGTGAGCCGAGATCCCACCATTGCACTCCAGCCTGGGCAAAAGAGCGAGATTCTGTCTAAAAAAAAAAAAAAAAAAGAAAAAAAAAATTAGACGGGTGTCGTGGCGCAGGCCTCTAATCTCAGCTACTCAGAAGGCTGAGGCAGTAGAATTGCTTGAATCTGGGAGGCGGAGGATGCAGTGAGCTGAGATCACGCCATTGCACTCCAGCCTGGGTGATGAGAGAAACTCCGTCTCCAAAAAAAATAAATAAGCAAAAAGCAAAAACTTAGCTGGGTGTGGAGGCACACACCTATAGTCCCAGCTACTCAGTACTCAGGAGACTGAAGCAGGAGGATCGCTTGTGCCTGGAAGGTGGAGGTTGCGATGAGCCATGATTGTGCCACTGTACTCCAGCCTGGTGACCGAGTGAGACCAGAAAGAGTGAGTGTGAGAGAGACAGAGAGAGAGAGAGAGACTCATGCTTTAGGGCCTCTGACAATACCTGTGTATGCCACGGCCTCAACCGTGTTTTTTTTTTTTTTTTTTTGAGATGGAGTCTCGCTCTGTCTCCCAGGCTGGAGTGCAGTGGCGCAATCGCCACTAACTGCAAGCTCCGCCACCTCCCGGGTTAACGCCATTCTCCTGCCTCAGCCTCCCTAGAAGCTGGGACTACAGGCGCCCACCACCACGCCCGGCTAATTTTTTTGTATTTTCAGTAGAGATGGGGTTTCACCGTGTTCGCCAGGATGGTCTCAATCTCCTTGATCTCATGATCCGCCCGCCTCGGCCTCCCAAAGTGCTGGGATTACAGGCGTGAGCCACCGCACTCCACCTTTTTTTTTTTTTTGAGACAAAGTCTTGCCCTATCGGTCAGGCTGGAGTACAATGGCATGATCTCGGGTCACTGCAACCTCTGCCTCTTGGGTTCAAGCGATTCTCCTGCCTCAGCCTCCCGAGTAGTTAGGACTACAGGCGCGTGCCACCACGACCAGCTAAGTTTTGAATTTTTAGTAGAGAACGGGTTTCACCATGTTGGCCATGATGG